AATTGGAGGAAAAGTGCTAAATTTAAATTTTTCAGTATTTTCGTTTTCAATGAATATATAGAAAAATGTTTCGAATTAGATGTATGTGGAAAATGTATATATTTACTTTATCCTCTAAACCTTTATAGAGGTGCTGCAATAGGTTGTACAAAATAACCGGAAAAAGCCTATAATAACTAGATAGGAAAGTCATGTGTTAGACACACCAGATTTTTAGACAGTCGTTTTGGTTGTGCGTTGATAGATCAGTTAGTCAGGACAAACGATTTTATATAGATTAAATTTAAGGACGTCCAAACATTTAAAAAATAGGTATACGGCACTAGTTTTAAATAAAGAAAATCTATATTGCGTTTCACATAAATAATCCTTGAACTTTCATATTTTATCTCAGATGGTTTCGGAAATCCTATTGATAAGATGAAAAAAAAACGAGAAAACTTGTCGTATTAATACTATACAGTTTTAAATATTAGTTTTCGTCAAAAACATATCGCCCTCTTATAGTCCACGATCCGTAAGTAAGGTCAACCCATCTGTTTATTGGATAAAAGTTTTTTTTTATTAAATAAAATATTGTTTTTAAATATACCACAAATGGGTTTCCTAAGAAAATACGGTCACGGTAATTTTTTACTTTCCTTTCTATATACAGATAAGGAAAGTATAGGAATCATGAAAAAAGTTGCTTATGATGTCATTCTCTATTATTTTGTCCCTACACAGGATTTCCCTAAAATGGACCAAATTCGAGATATTTGAGGAAAAGTGCAAATTTCGAATTTACAGACTAATAGGGCACTTTATGGAGCTTGTTAGCATTGGGGCGATCAACTCAATTGTTCACGTTCTGCTTATAACCGTGTTGCTATAAATAAAGGCATAGGTACCTTCAGAAAATAAATTGAAGCCCGCTAAAGAACTTCCATGTTCATACTTTATAGAACCTAGATAGTTGATGCCCTTACGTAGAGTGTGAGTGTATGTATTAAAATATTCGCGCTATAAAACGATTTACCTCCCACTCTTTTGTCACAAGCTGAATTTTTCAGAGATAAAAGGTCATGATAAGGTAACCCTTATTCCAGAGGTAATACAAAATTAGACTGCAGAAGGGCACTATTATCAAAAATCCAGACATTGATACCACCGAATATAGAAAAAATTACTCATTTTTTGGTCCAATGCACAATAAAATCTTTGTGGGGAGTAATTGTTTATACTTATTTTAAAAGAATCATTTGCATTAGCCCTTACGATTGAAAAAAAAATATAAACGTAAATATCTCTGTTTCAGCCCTTCAAAAATTTGGTTAAAAAGTTGTCTTTTTTAAATATACCACTCATTTAACAAAAAAGGAAGGCCTAAATGAAAAAAGAAATTCTTTATAAAATTTTTGTTTATGTGTTGACAAGGTAACAGAGTAAACACTATCAGCGGTATGCATAGTCGATCACCAGCGACTCGCCAGAGATTCTTCCGGCGTTTCGCCAGCGATTCGCTGGCGATCCGGCCGGCGAAAGCCCAAAAAGGTGGCGTCTCGCCGGAGATTGTCACCGGAATGTCATTTCACGCAAGTTTTTATTTTCTTTTATAGGGATTATCACCGGTATCTCTCGCATTTTATTCATGAGTCATTTCTTAAAACTCAAAAAATAATGAACGAATATCAAATTTTTCCCTATAAAAGAACATGAAAACTTGTGTGAAATGACATTCCGGTGACAATCTCCGACGAGTCGCCAGCTTTTTGGGCTTTCGCCGGCGGATCGCCAGCGAATCGCTGGCGATACGCCGAAATGAATCTCTGGCGAGTCGCTGGCGATCGACTATGCATACGGGTGTCAGTGTATCTTTCTCTTCGCCTTCAATGTAGCATAGCTCTGTTTCTCTCTACGTGCCGACTGATGTATCACATTATTGATGTGGTAGGATTTTTTCATTTTTTTATTATAAAACTTCTCGTTAGGTGCCAATGGGCAATGTGTCATATTGTTATCTGTTTATACTAAAGAATTAATAAGTGTATGTGTTATATATTAAAGTACCTAATAAAAAGTTATAAGTTTTCGTTTAAAATTTTAATTACGGATTTATTGTTGCAAGAAGCAAAGACAAAAAGATATCAAAATAGGGATGTTCTTAATCCTCGCCAAGTCAATATGCTTGTTGATGCAACAAATAGGGTGGAAATAAGAGGTCAATGTTTTAATTACATATTTCATGTTTAACGCTGAGACAGAGGAAAAAACGAATGGCATTAGATGAATGGGTGGTTACTTTAGTGGAAGAGCTTAATAAATTTGAAGTTTTTAAATATGGATCATCGAAATTAACTTCTATATCAACTAAGGAAATTTTCAGTACAAAAGTAGATGGCTTAAAATTAACAGCAAAAGAAAAGAGTCAAACGGCTTTGAAGCGTTTTTTGAGTATTGTTGATTTTTATAAGCCATTAAAGAAAATACAATGCGACCATCAACAGAAAACTCAAAAACCCTCTAACTTCTCAATCCTTGGAAGATCAACAGTTTCTTCAAAAATGTTTATTAGCAAAGGATATGGGTAGAAGCATTAATTATGCCGAAATATTTAAGTTTAAGCTGGCCGCTTCTCCGATGTCTCTAACACTAAATGGGTATCTCGGCACCTCCACAAATAAGAGTTCATTGGAAAATATTTTAGAACAATATGGCATTACTCACAAAGACTTACCTTCACCTATTGACTCTGGCAAAACTTGTCACGTTTTTGATGGGATGACAATAGTCCAAGGTTTGGGAAAGTCCAACAGTTGCATTTCATTTAAAGAATATGCTAATGTATTTGTAAACATTATTTTTAGAAATAAATTTAATGCTCAAATGGTAGATGTGGTATATGATCATTATAAAGAACATTCTATCAAAAATAAAACTCGTCAAAAGAGAGGATCCCAGAAATCAATTGATGTATAAATTGACCGACCCAATACTCCACTTCCCCAACAATGGAACTTGTTTATTCATTCGATATTTAACAAAAGACATTTAACAAATTTTCTGTCAGAGCAACTTCTTCAAAATTCCATTCAGCAAAAGCATATTCAATTTGTAACTAGTGGTGGATTCGCGAATTTCAATAAATATGGGACGAATTTTGAACCATCAAAAGACGATTTCTTAAATTCAAATCACGAAGAAGCTGATACTCGTATCTTATTGCACATATTTTCAGCTAAAAATTCGGGGCATTCACGCTGCATTATTGATTGCAACGATACAGATGTTCTAGTCTTATTAATTTATTTTAAGAAGCATTTGACTAAAGAGATATGGTTCAGAACAGGGCGAGGAGACTCAAGAGGATTTCTAGCAGTACATGATTTAAATTTGGATGATACCTTCTAAAAAATTTGCCTGCTTTACATTTTCTGACCGGTTATGATACAACCAGCCAATTGTCTGGCATTGGAAAAAAACCTACCTTGAACACCATCACCTTTTGAATGGATTTGGCACTGATCAGTACTCTGAAAACATTCTCTAATCTTGAAAAATGTTTCATAAAAATTTATTCAGAAACTGCCAATGTTACTTCCATTAACATTTTGAAGGGATTAATGGCCTCTTTAAAAACCATTGCTAAATTGCCACCGACTGAAGACGACCTAAGATTACATTGTTTAAGATGTTTTTACCAGCTAAATATTTGGCTAAACTCTTTAAAGCCGCAGATGCAGCTTCTTAATGTTGAAGAGTATGGATGGAAAGTAGATCAAGATGGAAGTCTGATACCCACTCTAAGACTCTGCCCGACCTGCCACCAGACATAACAGAATTTACATCATACAAATGCAAAAAAGGTACTATACATTGATAATTTTCATAGATATACAATATTCTAACAATATTATTCTATTCTAGACTAAGGAAGCAAAATTTGCAAATGCAGGAAAAAAAATTAGCTCTATCGGTTCCTGCACCTGTATGGCACAGAAAAACTGTAGAAATAGTTTGACCACAGCCGCTAATGTTTTTGAAAATGTTGATTCGTGTGGTGAATCAGGAACTGATTTGACAGTACAGAAACTGGTTTGTCATTAGGTTTTTGTACAGTTTTGACTGAGAGATTTGTTAGAACACCAAATATAGACTGCGCAGAATCCAGACAGTACGTAAACCGATTTGCTATTGTGTTGGAACAAACCTAGTTTGCGAACAACTAAACTTTCTTGTTAATAAGATTTTGATAAAAAAAGGTTTATTGGACAATTCTACTTTAATCAATACTTTAATTCTATTTTAAAATATAGAAGCACATAATTATTATACGATATAAGTATTTAAAAATCGATATATTAAATTATAAGTTATAGAAAATTATATTTTGCATGACTTAGATATTTTATATACTGAGTGATGAAGCCTTTCCTCGAGATATATAAATACATATTATCGCACCCTGGCATTGTCAATTGCTCGAGTCTTCTTCTTTTTGGTGGCCTTGACTTATAGCCCAAACATATACCATCTTTTGATTGATTTTAATTTAATATACATGAAATTTAACAATGAAAAAGTTTAAAATATCTAAGGAATAACGGAAAGCAAAGTAGCGACGTGGCGACGTTACATTTTTTGGTGAGCCGTGCGTACTTATCACGGATATGACTCGTATCTCTATCTTTGCCGGCCATGATCTACTTTAGAATCATTTTTGCTGGATCATTCTTCAATTTCTTTCTAATTTTCATAAATACATATTGTATCGCTACCAAAATTAAAATATTTATACCTAGGTAGTCATTTCTGGTTAAAAAATCAGGCTAAAACAGGCAAAATTTTAAACTGCCGCTAATTAAAATTTCGTACTAAAAATAATTAAAACCATTCGCAACATATTATTACAGACTTGTAAAACACAGTAATTATATCTGTATTAATGTTTTAATATAGGATGTATAGTCACAGTCACATTTATAGAATATAAATAGTAAATTAAATCAATAAACACTTACCACTGCATGCATTCTGTTTATCAGTCTTGGCTTCTAAATCTCCATCGTTATAGCAAACCATAGCAGACAACTCCACTCTGTCAGTAAAAACAAAGTTTTCCAAGCAATAAAACTGATAGGAAATCCTCGGCATAATCTCATCATAGGGCTTTAACAAGGTTCCATTTCTTTGAACATAAAACAGATCAACGTCATCAAACTGAGGATTAAGTTTTAACCTTTCATCCGTTTTGCAAGAATTTCTATGAATGACGTTGTATCTAACAGTCACATTAGTAATTTCCTGCAATCCATCGTAACTTTTGAAAGAAAATTCATAAGCAGATGAAGTAGTACATCTTTTCTTTATCAAAACTTGATGCTCCGGGCAACATTTTCTTATGCACGGTGTCCGTCTGCACCATCGTTCACAATCTCTTGTTTCATGATTTAATTTAACTTCACTTAAAACCGATTGCACTAACAATATTATAACTGCCAAAAATACATGTATTTTTAAAAACATTGCATTTAATACTAACGGTATCAAAAGATGTAGGTAAAAATTTTGTTATAATGTGCCAGTTAACCGGATGTATTTTTAGTTTCCTTGATGATAATTATAAATTTTCCCGATTAGCGGGCGAATTTATTTGTATTTACAAATAAGTTGATTCATAATGAGTGTCCATTTGGTTGAGATGCTGGGAGAAGATATCTACCTGAAAAATTGTTAAATGTTAAAAAAATACACTTTATGCAATTTAATGATTTTTTATTTTTTTGTTTTTTGTTTTTTTTTTTTTTTTTCGTTTTTGTTTTTGTTTCCATGTTTTATTTTTTATTATACATAGTATTTTTTATAGTTTTTCACAGTAACACTGCACACTTGTGGGTTTTTATTAGCGGTTTTGAAAACGAAGATGACCACGTAAAGACTAGAAAACAGGATATATACAAATTATACCTACCTTAACTTTAAACATTTTGTGCTTACATATTTTTTTAAATTTATACAGGGTGTTCCTCAATGACCGGCTAATATTTCAAGGCCATTAGATTATTTAATAAAGAAACATTCATATAAACATATGACCGGAACGGCTTAAATTTTTTGCTACAGGGTATTAAAGAATTTTTTTAAATAGTTATTTTTTAATATCTAAGTACTATACATATTATTTTTAATTTTGGTATGTGTTAATAGTGTATAAAACCATATATTGTAGATATATAAGTAAGTCTATTGCTCCACTAGTGGCGTCCCTGCAAATATGTCGTTATTACAAAAAAGTGGTACGTCACTGACATTTTGGATATTTTGTCTGGTCAATTCTACATGAACATGATCTCTTTTTCTAAATAAAATATTTAAATTAAAATGTTTTCATTTAGTAGTATTGACAAATAATTTTTGAACACAAATCTTGTTATCCTGGAATAATGACGTTTTCGCAAACATCATTTTCGTGTGAATTTCTGTCAGTGGTACGTACCTTCAGAATGTTACGATAAATCTGGAATTTGAGTCACAAATTAGTTTCACAGACTGGGGGGGAAGTGGTAATATTTAAGACTTTATTTTTAATAATAAAACATTTTAGTGCCTATAAAAAGTGAGGTTTAAAAATGCTTGGGCGTAATTAGCCCTATTGTCCCCATGCCCCATTATCCCCCGTATATGCGCTCCTAAATGTTTCAATTTCAGATTACAATCTTAAATTCAAAAATAATTGTGTGTAGACCGCCTTTGTTCAAGTCATTTATGTTAAAATCACATATTTAATAAATCTAAAATATTTATTGTATAAAACAAAATCTAAATATTTCAAAAACCTTATTTTTAGTTTTTTTCTACTCCATCTAATCAATAAATAATAGTATAATTCGAGAATTATTGTTGAGGACTTACTTTTTCGTGAGGCACTGTACAAATACTCATATTTTTAAAAAAAAATTATCAAAAATTTGCAAGGTAAGGTATAGTTAAAAGTTCAGTATTAGATAAATAAGGACTTCAACTATTAGAAAAAAATTAATTTTAGTCATAATCTAATAACTTTTTTTTTAACATTTGAGGCGAGAGGTGTGGCGAAAGGACCTCCTTAAATTAAAATCATCTGATAGCAAGCCTATTATCAAATTTATGGTTCTAAATGTATGTACACTGCCCAGTATACATATAGGTATTGAACAGTTGTATTTATATTAGCATACTTTTGATGTATCCTATAGGATACGTTGCCAACTTAAGAGTTAAGTTTTTTTTTTATAAAAAACAACTAATTTTACTTTTTTATAAAAAATAACTAATTTACCTAACCTGTGTGGCCTGGAGCCATCGCGGTTTGCCTCACAATAAAATATACAAAAAGGAGAAAAATTTAAAAAACCTAACTAAATTACCTAACCTGTGCGACCTGGTGCCATTTAAATTTTACTGATTGCTCTCGCAAAGGTTAGGTATATTAATTAAGTTATTTTTATAAATAACTCAACTTATTTACCAAACATGTGCAGCCTGGTGCCGTCGAGGGTTGCTTCGCAAAAAAATAAACAAAAATGAGAAAATAAAAAACTCAACTAATTTACCTAACCTAAGCCATTTAAATTTAACTGATTATTTAGGTTTTTTTATTTCTTGTATATTTTTATTCGAAGCAACCAGCGATGGCTATAGGTCGTACAAGTTAGGTAAATCAGTTCTTTTAATTTTTTTTAATTTTTGTATGTGGTTTTTTGATCAATTGCTTTTTCTATCAAATCTATTTTCGATTAATTTTCTTTTCGATCATTTTCCTTTTCGATCATTTTTCTTTTTGATAATTTTTCTTTTCGATATTTGTTTTTTGATCATTTTCTTTTTGATCATTTTTCTTTCCGATCAGTTTTCTTTTAGATCAATTTTTATTCGATAAAATGTTTTTTTGATTAAATGCATTCGATTAAATGTTTTCGATAAAATGTATTCGATAAAATGTATTCGATCAAATGTAGTCTATCAAATGTTTTCAATCAATTTTGTGACAACCCATGGAAAATCTATTAGTTTTTCAGACTTAAAAAATATGTATGAAATCGATAACTGCAGTAAAACTGGAAAAGCTTTTTTAAAAGTAACATAAAGACACATCCAGATTTCTTTCAAAAGATAACTGGGCAATTAAATTCTAGCACTGCCGAAAATACTGTTTTCTTTGTAGATACCATGAATAATCTCTTCAATGTTTTAAATAGTACACGTGTCCGAGCATCAAATACCTAGAAGAGGGTGTTAATTGTAATAAGAATCAAGAGATGACTAATTAACAGTTTCGGCTTCTCTCCGCCAATAGGGAACCACCTACTTATGCCGAGAGGGTGCGGGAAGTAGTCAATATACAGGCACTGATTAACTATCTCAACTCTTTAAATAAAGGTACTACTATAGTGACAGAAAAATATAGATAATAATCTCAAAAGTATCACTCATAGTTTTTTTACATAATAGCTATTTATGAAACCAGTTATGAAATGCCTTATTTAATGTAACTAGTGAATATTTGCGGCACGAGCAGAGCGAGGTCCCGCAACATGAACGTGTTACATAAAACGGCATTTCGTAACGTGTTACACACAATATTTTTTCTAATTTTGACAATAATATTTATAAATTGTGTTTTTGTAAGACATCACTGATATCTAGGCAACCAATATTACCTTCTTGTATTGTTAGTTGCATATACATTATTTTATTGATAAATAGAAAGTTTAATTATGTATTCTCAACGAATTGAAGTGTATTTGTATCGCTTATTAAAGTTATTTAGTTTTCAAAAAAGTGAGTTTTCTTTTCTCAATTGGTGACATAATGAATTTTTCGAAACCAGTTTCATAATGTTCAACATGATACAACTGGTTGCGTAAAGTAAATCATTTTGACCTTGCTACGAATACAGAAAATGTCACTTTATAAATATGTCAAAATTAGAAAATCAAATAAAAATGTTCCAAATCAAAATATAAAATAAACTTACTTCATTAACATTAACATTGTTCAATACTAATTTCACAATTAAACATTAAGCAATAAAATATTACAATTATTATATAACTAGCATATGTTTAAATGTCTAGACATACTGCTTCTAAGATTGGTTCAGTAACGTACTAGGGTCAATTATTTTAAGTATTTATATTTAAGAATAGTTAAACTACTTTAAATTTTCCATTCATTTCGATTTTGAATAGTATAGTAGTTTTTAAAATTTTGTTGGGACAATAATATTTGATACATGAAAACAGTCTTTAATTCTAAAAATTAATACTATAAAACACGCCACACTTTATTCTGCGTAACTATTTAAACCATAATGGTCAAAACTGATTTAATTTTGTGTTTATAAAAAGATAAATCATGGTCCTTATTGTAAACATTTATGTAACTATATATCTACCTAATAGAATTTCCAAAAAAATATTTCGGTTAATTTCAATATATTCGTGAACTATAGAGTGAATACAGACATGTGTTGGATTTTCTACATCAACCATTTTTATACGTCTTAAGAGGCTGTTTTGAGAAAAATATCCAATTTGAATTAGTTAATTCCGAATGAATTTCTCGCAAAAAATCTTAATACCTACTTGTTTTCGCATATCATGTTTTGTATCTAATAGTAAATTTACGAGGAAACAATAGGTACGTTGGCGTTGCGTTGGTAGGCAATATACTTTTTGAACTTACATTATACAAAACGTGTAAAAAATATTTACCTAATGTGTATTCGTTTTGTATGCAAGAATGGCCATTTATTTAAGAGGATCATGTAAGTAATTTAAATGAGTAAACTGGGAAGGTTAAGAGGAGTATTTACTTGGCTTTAGAGCAGAGCATGCAAGGGTTTCGTAGTACCCCACTTTTAAAGTTTATCTTTGAATTATTCTGAAAGAAGAAAATACGTGCGTATAGGTAAAGGTTAAATCTATGCTCGTCTGGAGACACTTTTTCGAAATTTGAAATTTTTTTTCTAAAAAAAAAATACAAAACTCGATTTTTTTTACCCATTTTCTCAATTTTTTTTAGAAAAAACTAAGTTGAATTTTGAAAAAGTGGTTCAAGAAGAGCATATATTTAACCTTTACATATACGTACATATTTTTTCTTTTAAAAATAGTCAAAAATAAACTTTAAAAGTGGGGTACTACGAAACCCTTACATTACAAGTTTTTTCGCCTGGAAAGTGCCGCCTCTGTTAGATTTTTAAGAAATTAATATTTTTGAATGAAAACAATTTATAATATATTTTACTAATGTTTTACGAGGGATAAATAAATGTTACGTATCTGAGTGCGATGTAGACAATCCACTCGAGTTGTACAGTATATTTTTTCTACGACCCACTAACGAAAATTTATAAATAAAAATATATTTTAGGTTATTAAGACAAAATAACTAATTTTAAAATAATTTATCACTTTTAATCATTTTTAAAATAAAATAAACGAAAAAACAAAGAAAGAAAGTTCACTTTATTTTTCCCCATCCAAGAATCGAACTCCAGTCTTCCCCGTGGAAGGCCAGAACGCTGACCACAGGACCACCTATTCTTTTAGTTTTGTTGCTTTAATATTCGTAATTAAATTGACTTCATCTAGTTTTATTTAAATTAATAAATTATTTATAATTATAGACGAAATAAAATCAGAAATAATATTATTTATCGATTCTACACAAGA